GACACGATAGAGGTTTACATACTGATACTGAATCTGTTTCTTGTTATTAATTACAGTTTAATAATGTTTAATGTTTCTTGAAATTTTTAACTTCAAAAGACGAGATATCTCTTATTTAAGCATTTTCCGTTTCGCTTTTCCGATACCGGGTATTTTCTATTTTAAGGCGAACTAATCATCCAAATCGTGCAACGTAAGGTATGACTTCAACGGGAGCATTAGAAAGACAACAACATACACATTGGCTCTGGAAAGATATGCACAATTTGTTGGTGAAGGTTGGGATGTTCCTTAATTGGAGTCAAAACACTTCAAGTTGGCAAATTCGTTTAATTCTTCTTGGACGAAAATACTACAAGAGAGAATCGACACAAAAGTTATGCTTCACACTTAATTAATAATTTGGAATGCATATCAAAAAAAGACAAAAATAATAAAAGAATTTATATTATCAAGTCACTTTAAAAAAAAAAAAAGTATTACTTTCTAAAGTGAAATTAAGCAACTTAAAAAGTAAGATAAGCTTACTTATTAATATACATAACTAGTAGTAATTAGCGTAAAAACAATGAAAATGAGCAGACCAATGAAAATATAAATTTTTCAGCGATTATCATTGCAACTGAAATTTTGTTTCTGGATAATCCCATGCGCATTTATGATGTCAAGACTGATTCACCGATAATTGCTGATTCGTCACTCTCTTTTTCCTTGGGGCCTATTCTACTTTCTTGAAAAGTTATCTTTTCTCTCCATATCCTCTTTTCTTGGGGGCATATTCTATAATTTCTTGAAAATTATTGTGACTTCTTTTCAAGGGTTGGTTTGCTGTTTTTCCACTTGGAACCTACTCTTTATTGTGCGGCAAGGATAACAGTAGTCTTAGCAAGCTAGAATGTATCTAGTGTAAAAAAAAGAATGGATTTTTTTCCGGTTCCTATATAATATTTTGAAATTCAATTATAAATTGTTAACTAAATTTTATTATTATTTCAGCCCTAAATAAGGGTTACTACTTACAAATTATATACATTCGCACCTTAAAAGGGTTTCCAATTCATTATTATGTGCCTTTAATCGGAGGGATTTAGTTATATCCTTTTCCTTTTTTCTTCTCCTCATTCCCTTTTCTTCCAGACTTGACTTATATCTTAGGAATTTCTGTAGATAGATACATTGTTTTCGGTCTTGATTTATGTTTTGGCATATATTTTTAATCAACTGTCTCCTTTTATTTAAAACTGCAGAAGTAAAGTTGAGGGTTAAGCCCCGTAGTTTACAATCTGCGAGTTTGACGCCCAAACTATGGCATGAAATTATGTTTCAAACTGGATTGTAACATGATGTGAAAATTTCCCTGAAATCCCTTAGGCAGCAAACTAAAGCTTTATCTAGTTCTAATAGTAAGTTGCACGTTGGAGTGCAACAAAATTTTCAGCTTGACATATAAGATATCTTTGGTGTTACACAGTAAATGGTTCAATGATTCTGTAATATGCTTGTACATTGGCGTATTTTTGCTAGTCTAAATATATTTGTCATTTTACTTTGATCGATCAGTCGTTTCAAATATTTAATTCAGCAGCAATCTAAAGGAGAGTTCTCACTGAAAATTTGACTTCATTAGCGTAGTTATAGTTCAACACTATCACACATAAAAATCTCTATCTTTTAGAACAATATAATGGTAGCATCAACATAAAATTAAAAATAAATTTCGCACAAATTTAATGCAAATTTGAAATATCTACAACAACATACATAGTAAAAGCAATTTCATACAACAAATTATATATTATACAGACTTATTTAACAACTTATCTACAACTTTCATACATTATTTCGTAAGCCCCCAGTTAAATACAAACATACTAATATATCTATACTCACAACTTAAATCTGATTTGTATATATTTTGGTCTGTGGTGTGTGCTTCTTCCTCTCTAAAATTCAATAAAAACTTACTCTCTAATA